AGGGTGCTCCTCCAACTCTCCCACATCCTCCCAAACCAGGGCCTGACCCCATGCTAACACATGCCCACACTAACCAGGCAACCACGTAAGGGAGGCATGGAAACAACCAAAGTTGACAAGGGCATAGGAGCAGAGGAAAAAGTTGGAGATGATGGGGATGGTGTTCACATCAGCTTTGGGAGAGATGAAAGGTCAGGGGGTCGGTCTTCAAATGAGTCATGGGTTTGAGGTCTAGGGAGACAAGGACAGCAGATTCTGGCTTCCTTCCTCCATACTCTAAAGCCCTAAAAGTCAGACGTAGGGCAGTGAGGGGCACAAGGGGAAAGGTGATTCATGAAGGCCCATGTAGGGGTGGAGGAGGAGTACTCACTGATAAGGATGAAGGGGCAATTAAGGAACATGAGCAGAGGGCCTCACATAGGTTCATGCTTCCTGCCTTAGCCTTTCCCAAAAAAGCCCATGACTGGGTACAGTTTGTTCTGGCGCAGCAACTCTTAAGAGGGCATGGCAATCACTGGGGAACAGTCCCAGGAAGAGGGAGAATGATTGCCTCCTCCTCCTCTCGAGAGGCAGGAGGGAGTGAGGAGCACAGAGGAAAGAGCTGAGGGAGCTTAGGGGTCTTAACGGGCAGAACAGATGACAGTAGAGTGCAGTGGGACGCCTGGTAATATGGGATGGGAAAACAGGGGAGGCAGGTGGAAGAGAGATCCCCCCCCCCACAAACTTTGCTTGATGTACAGGCGGACTTTGAATTTTGCTATGTGAGCTTGGACTGTCTCTTACACCGGCCAGCCAGTCATCGCCACCTCCCTACATCATCATCTAACTCCCGGTTGCTGAGACGGAGCCCTCTTGTACTCCTCCTCCTCCAAAAATTATACTCTTAGGATGGCCCTAGACTCTACCTACATTTTCTCCTTTTCCCCCCAAGCCTCTTGGTAAGATACCAACTAACCTGGAAGACTTTTGGTGTTGAAACAAAGCAGGAAAGGGCAGAGGACAGAATGGCACTGAAGATTCTGGGCAGACATCAGGGGGCTAGAGGCAGACACCATGCTCAGTGCATTCCACTCATGTTTTTACCTAGCTTTCCCACAAGTTGTTAGACATATTAAATTTTATCCTGTCTTTGCAGGTTTTACCCCGCCCACATGAATCCCCTTAGGTCATTATTGGTTTTTGAGCATCTACTCTGTGCCAGGCAATGGGCTAGGTAGGATTTACCTCTCTCATCTTCCCCTTTGGTTCACTCACCTGGTGGTGATCAGAGAGGGCATATAGGCAGGACCCTTGTTTTGGACAACTGTGGAAATCCTAGCCGTACTGATACTCTGGCCACAGGCAGCTCCCATTCTGCACACCCATGTTAGTCCTATTTCCTGGATCTTCTCCAATCATACAGGAGCCTGGGAATGAGATTGGGAACACACATTCCTTCGTGGGGAGAGAACCACATCGCAGAGCAGTAGGACTATCTAGGTACCATCAGTGCTGAAGGGCGGAATGGAAGTTTGTATGTAGGATGGGAGGGGAGGAATACCAATTTTTTTTCCTTTTTTAAAAAAGATTTTTATTTGAGAGAGAGGGAGAGAGCCTATGAGGAGGGGGGAGGGGCAGAGGGAGAAGCAGGCTGTCCGCTGAGCAGGGAGCCCCACGCAGGGCTTGATCCCAGAAGCCTGGGACCATGACCCAAGCTGAACGCAGATGCTCAACCCACTGAGCCACCCAGATGCCCTGGGAATACCAAATTTGATAAAGAACGCCACACAATTTTTTAGTGAAATGAGGTATGGGGAGAAATGGTGAAGGGAGGTGAGGGGCTACCTGCATGTAAACTACTTCTAATGTGATTGATGAAGTCTCTTGCTCATTTCATCACCTATATTCTCAGCCCTCAGAGAGGCAGAAAGCAGGGTTCCAGGTCATTCTGCACAGAAGGCTGGAGTGGAGGGCCTTACCGCTTGTGGCAGAGATCCTCAGGTAGGAAAGTGTGTCCACGTGATGGCAAGGATATAGCTGTAGCAGGGTCCTGGAAACAAAAGTGGAATCATTAGTGGTAAGAGAAGGGGGCAGATGACGAGTATACTCCATACCAAGGGGAGGTGACATTCTGAGGCATGCATCCCTTTAATACATTTCTCAGCCAGCTTCCCTGGTCTCACCTGGGTACTCAAAGAAGCAAGTGGCTTGTCAGCTGGGGTTTGTGAGGAGGAATATTCTAGCAGATAGTTGATAAAAGAGAGAATGGGGGGGGTGCCTAGGTGGCTCAGTCAGTTAAGCATCTGCCTTGCGTTCAGGTCATGATCCCAGAGTCCTGGGACCCAGCAGGAGAATCTGCTTCTCCCCCTGCTCCACCCCCGCCCCTGCTTGTGCTTGCGCGCTCTCTCAATCTCAAATAAATAAATAAAATCTTAAAAAAAAAAAAAAGAGGGGGGATCAGGAAGCTCATTTGGAGGAATACCATGAGTGACAAAAAAAAAAAAAAAAATGAGTGGAAGAGGAGAAAGAACTCCTCCTCCTCACTCTCCTCTCCCATCCTCTTAAGTTCCCTTTCCCATCAGCCTCTTCCCAGAAAGAAATCTGGCTAAATGGATCTTTTTCCTTCTTGCCTCAAATTGTAAAATTTCCCTTCCCTTGCCAGAGGGGTGGATCTCAAGATTGTAAATATCTGGGAGCAGGAAATGGCATTTCTCATCTGGTAGCCTTGTCTAGTGCTCATCCCAGCAGATCCCTAGAATGAGTCCTTATTTTTCCCTTAAAGAGTTGACATATAGAGTCTGTTCCGGCAAATCTGTCCATTTTCAGGTTGGGTCTCTGAGAACCTGCTCTGCCAGCCACACACACACACACACACACACACACACACACACACACACTTCCACATCTCCCCACATTTGGCCCTTTCCAGATCTGTTCAGCTCTCACGGCCATCCCCTCAGTTACTCTCACCCCCCACCTTGACTCCCTGGCCACTGCCTTAGACATCCACTCCATACTGCCCATTGCCAAGCACAGAAGAGCGGTCATGGTCACCATGCCCACCAACCCTAACTTATTTTCCAGATCTATGTTAGGTAGGTGCACCCATGCTCCCGGAAGGGCAGAACACAGAGGTAGTGGGTTACAGAGACTTTAGTGACTGATTTGATGCCTCCACCTGATTCTTAAAATGACTTGTCCAGGCTGGAGTCACAAAAAGTACAGGCTGTGGTCAGCGGACTTGGGAAAAGGGCGTATCAAAGGAGGGGATGAACATTACCGGGAGCAGGTTTGAAAAACATCTCTGTGTGGGGCGCCTGGGTGGCTCAGTCGTTGGGCGTCTGCCTTCAGCTCAGGTCATGATCCCAGGGTCCTGGGATCGAGCCCCGCATTGGGCTCCTGCTCAGCGGGAAGCCTGCTTCTCCCTCTCCCACTCCCCCTGCTTGTGTTCCCTCTCTCGCTGTCTCTCTCTCTCTGTCAAATAAATAAAAAATCTTTAAAAAAAAAAAATCTCTGTGAAGCCTGCCTTTTGCCTAGCCAGGGCTCGTTAGCCAAAGCGAAGATGATCCAGATGGAACTGCCAAGTGCTGGACCCAGGCTTCTTGAAACAGGAAATAGTGCCACTGAGAGGAGAGGAAAAAGGAACCCGTCTGGTCTCCCCCTCCCCCATGTGAACACCACCCTCTCACCCGAGTGTAAGGAACAATCGTGCTTTGATCCCCGGTTAAGTCAGCCTGTTGGGTCAATCTATCCAGCCTGGACCAATCTTTTTATTGGCCAGGGAATCCACCCCAGCAGCCCCCAGCCTGTCCTACCTTCCAGGGAGAGGGGAGAAAAGAGGCATTGCTGTCCCAGTCCCTAAATTCCTTCCTCATGAAGATACCTAGAACTGCAGCAAAAACCCCAGATTTAGGGAGTCTCAGAGTAAGAAAGAGGTGTTATCCTGGGTAGAGGGAGCAACTGTTGGTGTCCTGCCTCAGTGAAAATGTTTATGGCCCCCTAGGACTTTGGTCCCCCCAGCAGTGGAGATCACCCCACCTTCCACGGTCCTCATCCCAGAGACCTAGGTGAGGGTTAGACTCACCCCGACTCTGAACACACAGGGTTGGGCTTCTCTTTCTCACCACTGACCCCACCTCGGGAGGGAGGAAATACTGAGCTGCGGGGTGGATCACCTGTGGTGCGTAGTCCTGACCCCTGCCCCTTCACCTGCGCCCTGGGTGGATCCAGCCTGGTTATGTGTGCATATCATGTCAATACTGTTCCCTCCAGGGTCTCAGCTTTATCGTGCACAGGAAAACCAATAGTCAAAGCCTAGAACTGACCCCAAATACACCCTTCCCTCTTCTGGCCCCATGCTCCCTCCAGTCTGCACGCAGACCAGACTGCCTTCCCCCTCCCCCTCCAGACCCGTCTGGTGAACGAAGCCTTTCTTGCCTGGCTCACTCCCCCAATCACATCCTCCTTGGCTTCTGAATTTGCCTTGCTCAGCACAAGGACGTGACCTACAGGTGGAAGGGAGGAGGTCATCTCGGGACGAGGCCTGGGGATTGAGTGTCAGGAGTTTGGGCACCCGGAGCCCAGTCCTCAAGCCCGCCAGCACCGGCTATAATTAGTCAGGTGGGGCCACTGATCCGGTTAAGGGGCAAGTTCCCTCTGCCACACGGTCCGGGTCCGAAGCTGAGAAGGTTCAAGCGAGAGGAGGAACGCTGGTGTTTCCAGAGGGTGACTATCGGGATGGGATGGGGGCAAGCCGGTACTCAATACTCAGTACTCTCGGGGTACTGAGTCCCTACACAGGCTTCTTGTATGCTTCGCCGCGCTTCGTGAATCCCAGAGTTAGGCAGTATAGCCTAGCTGCTCGAGCCTTGGGATGGGGGTGGGGAGTGGGGTTTGAAGTAGGGAGAGGGGCTGTCATGTCACTGGGCTGGAGGCAGGGGTTCCTCTGGCCTCTCTGGGTCCAACACTGAACCCCTCCTCTCTTCCCTCTGTTCACCTGCGGCAAAACAGCCAACTGGACGATGAGCGTCTCAGGCTCTGCACATCGTCCCTCCGACCCGGGGAGCGTCTCTCTTCCTGCCCAGAAGGACCGCCTTGGCCTCCCTTTATCCGAACGGAGAATCCCCTCCTGGCCTCCTTCCCCGGACGAGGATCCCAGTTTGCCCCCTTTTCCTCTGGAAGAGCCTGTCCCCAGGCCTATGGCCCCAGGGAACCTTCCGTCACCAGCCTTGTCCCTAGAGGAGGAAGAGAATGAAGACGAAGAAGACGTGGCAGAGCCGGAGGGACTGCGCAGCGAGGAACATCCGAGCCAGTTTTTCGCTGAAGCACAGAGGCTTCGGGAGCAGAGGTTGTTGCTGGACGAAGAGGTGTCAGTTGGGGGACGAGTATACGGGGTGCATCGGGTAATCTTGGCTGCAATTAGCAGCCTTTTCCGAGACAGGCTGCTGGGCGGCAGAAGTCCACGACAGCCCCTGAGTCTCGATGTGGCCGCCGGGGCCTGGGAGGCCGTGCTGACCTTTGCGTATGAGGGGTTGCTGGGCCCTGCCCCGTGGGGAGATGTGCTGGTCGTGGCCGAGGCTCTGGGAGCACCCCGGGTGAAGGCCGCGGCCCAGGGGAGACGCAAGGGGGCTGGAAGCGCCAGGGAAGATGAAAAGCAGCCCAGCCAGGCAGAGGAGCTGAGGGAGAACCTGCGTAGCATCGAGCTCCTATACAAAGAAGGCATCGGGTGCGACCTGGAGCTGGAGGCAGGCGGCTGCCGGCTGCGGGGTGAGGACCTGTGGGGCATTACCTTACTGCAGGTGCAAATATGTGTGTGCAAGCTGCAGGTGGTTTGATCCCTACCACAGCGGTTTTGATCCCTGCCGCAGTCAGAATTTCCGTGGGAGTGGCCTTTGGTGCCTTTCCCGACCCACTGAGAGTGAGGCATGCGCAGCTGAGTTGTTTTCCTGGGAGCACTGACAGATTTAAGATGACCCCGTGGCTTTCCCTGGGGCCAGGAACAAGAAATTTCCAGCCAGCTGGCTGGTGTTAGGAGTATAGTCTAAGCCAGGAGAACAAGCAGAAAGTGATTGACTCAAACAGGGATTAACCAAAGGCCCTTCTTGGCATCTTCTATTTAGGATACAGGAAAGCCAGAGGAATATGGTGGAAAAACTCACCATGTGTCCTCTCACCTAAGGATGCTTGACACCATGGTAGATACGAGTCCTACAGCTAACGAACAAGGTCTGGTTTTGTTTTGCCACAATCTTTTTTTTTTTTTTTAAGATTTTATTTATTTATTTGACAGAGAAAGACACAGTGAGAGAAGGAACACAAGCAGGGAGAGTGGCAGAGGGAGAAGCAGTCTTCCTGCCAAGCAAGGAGCCCGACGTGGGGCTCGATCCCAGGACCCTGGGATCATGACCTGAGCCGAAGGCAGACGCTTAACAACTGAGCCACCCAGGCGCCCCTGTTTTGCCACAATCTTAAGACCACCAGGACATGGCACTTTGAAGTTAACTGTGCTCATCACCAGGAAAGCTAAGGAGGGTTGAATAAGTTGAGTGTTATTCAGATTCTACTAACTTAGGTACTGGGGTCCAGGAATTTTTACACACCTCATCTCTTTTCATTCTCACTGCAAACTAGTGAGGTGGGTACCATTATTCCTAGATGCAGGGGAAGAGCAGTAAACTCAGAGATGTTAACTGGTGAGAACCAGGATATAAGCCGTTATTCACTAGCCCAGTCTGCTTCCACTAGGCCATGCATTCCCTCCTAAGCAACCAAACCAAAGACACAAAGGATCTGACAAATGGGAGTTGGAATGCAGGCACATACAAACTTAAAATAAGATATTGATTCAGAGATTGTCTACTTCAGCTTGTATACTGATAAAGAGAGCAGACTTCAAGACATGTCCAAAGTCACATAGCTACTGCTCATTAGAATGACTGGAACCCAAAGTGCTTCTGGGACTCCCAGAGGAAAAAGCATCTTGTCTTAGCTTGGACTGCTTTTTTTTTTTTTTTTTTTTAAGGATTTTATTTATTCATTTGAGACAGAGAGAGAGAGAGAGAGAAGAGAAAGCATGAGCAGGGAGAGAGGCAGAGGGAGAGGGAGAAGCAGGCTCCCCGCCAAGCCAGGAGCCCGATGCGGGGCTCGATCCCAGGACCCTGGGATCACGACCTGAGCTGAAGGCAGACGCTCAACCATCTGAGCCACCCAGGTGCCCCAGCTTAGACTGCTTTAACAAAACATAGACTGGGTGGTTTCACAACAGAAATTTATTTCTTACAGTTCTGGAGCCTGGAAGTCCAAGATCAGGGTGCCCCTATGGTCAGGTTCTGGTTAGGGCTCTCTTCCTGGTTTGCAGAGGGCCACCTTCTCGCTGTATGCCCACTCGGTGGAGGGAGAGTTATCTTGCTCATGCCTCTTCTTATAAGGGCAGTAATCCCATTCACGAGGGTTCCACTCCCATACCTAATTACCTGCCAAAGACCCCACCTACAAATATCACCACACTGGGGACTGTATGGCTTCAACATATGATTTGGGGGGAGGGGAGACATAAACATTCAATCCATAGCAGGTCTCTAAAGTGCTTGTTATCATTTCTGATAGTAGCAGATGGAAGGGGGATTTACAATTTCATAGTTATAAAATTCTCTCTAGGGTTTGGAATTTAAACATACTTATATCCCTGCTTTCATTTCCCTAAGAAACATTCCAACTTAATGGTGGAAACCTGCCAGGTAAAATTCTAAGGGAATACTGATGAGTAGGAGGGAGAATACAAGTGGCTGTGACCCTTTCCCGGTGGCCCTGAGCTGTAGGTTGGTTGATTATATGGCAACTGAAATGGCTTACCTGCTTTGATGAATGCAGATTTTCTCAGGCAATATGTACTTGAAAGCTGTCACTGATAATCACTTCTTGGGAAGCACCGAGGCGCTACCGACTGCTTAAAAAGACAATCACCTGTCCTTTGAGAGAGACCAATGTGCCACAGTTGGTCAGAGCAGCTGGGGGTTCATAAGCTTCCCCAGGAGTTCGGCCCTGTTAGCTGCCTGAGAGGACTTCCAGCAGCATTTCCCCCTTTTTGGTTATGAAGCACTTCAAACATGCAGCAAATTAAGAAAATATTATGAACACTCAAACACCCATCTCCCAGAGTTAACAGTTAACATTTTTATGATATTTGTTTTGTCTCTTTATTTTAGTTATCACTGAAGTTTAAATCTGTGGCATTTTGCTGACAAATACTTGCGTCTGTGTCTCTTTAAAAGAGGACATTACCATAATACCTTCCTCATGTCTAACAAAATGAACAGTAATTCCTTAGTATTACCTAGTCCACGTTGAAATTTTTCCACTTGTCCAAAAAAATGTCTATTTAGCGCTGGTTCATTCAACCCAGGACCCACTCAAGGACTATGCTGTGCTCAGATATATGTCTCTTATGCTTCCTTTACTCTTGTATGGTCCTCTCTCTCCCTTTTTATGATTTGACTTAATTGAAGAAACAAGATTAGTTATCTTAGAATGCTCCATTTTCTAGATGTGTATGTGTTTTCTGTCATGGTTTTAACTTGTTCCTTTAGCCTCTCAATTTCCTATAAATTTGAATTGAGAGCTAAAGCTTCAATTAGATTTAGGTTAAATATTTTGGTCAGAATACTCCATTCTGGATGCCAAATATCTCAAATTGAGTTGCATTGGGAAGCATATTAGTTTAGGGAGTTAGTAGCATTTGTTAACCGGATAGTTTCAGTGTCATGAGGGCCATGCAGACAGGAAGGGCACTGATATGCAAGTATGCCCCTTGCAGCCTGACATCAGTGCCAGTGGGTGGTGAAGATCGGCTCAGACAGCCATGGAATAGAAAATAAATCACTTCCTTTCTCTAGGACTCAGTTTCCCTCTCTTAAAAGGAGTGATTGAAGAGGATGATTTTGAAGGCTTCCAGTTTAAAATTCACGACTCCATGAATTGTACTGAGATGGGGGCAGGGTGCAGAGAAAAGCTGCACACGGGAAATCTTAAGCAGGAGATCGCACTTAGAGGAGGTTAGGTCACAGCCATTCCTGAGTGTGGTACCATTTTCCAAGTAAAACTGGACTAACAGAATGACTGAAGCCAGTGGCTCTTACAATGGCAAAGGAAAGAACTTTATTTTGTGCACGACAGAGACCTATATAAGTTGCACATTGGTCTTTGCAGTTTATTTTTTTGTGCCCCCTTTTAACAACTGCTGTCTAGAGCATCTACTCAACTTGATTGATCAAGGCTCTTTTTTCCAGTTGACCTGGATCAAAAAAACTGAAGCAATGTTTATCACAGTGTCTTCAGGCCACTAACATGAGATTCATGCAGGGTGCTTGAAAATGTTAAGATACAAATTTCTGGGGTCTCCATCCACACCTACTGAGTCAGAATCTCTGGGGGTGGGTCCTGAATCCTGCATTTTAACAAGCACCCCGTGGTATTCTGTTGCACACCGCAGTTCGGCCTGGGGCCTTGGGTGGTGGGCCCAAGTTGGGGGTGTGAAGCTGGGATTGTGCCTGGCAATTTGCAACACTCTGGATTCCCGTCTGCTTCTCCTTCTTGCAGTGCACCGAGCAGCCCTGGCCTGTGGCAGCGAGTTCTTTGGCGCCATGCTCCTGAGTGGGATGAGGGAATCCCAGGGCACAGAGGTGTCTCTGCACACCATCTCTGCCCAGGACCTGAGACTCCTCGTCTCTTTTGCCTACGCGGGTGCTGTGCGGGCAGGGTGGCCAGGACTACTGAGAGCTGCCCAGGCTGCGGTGCAGTACCAGAGCTCTTCTTGCCTTGCTCTGTGCCAGAGAGCCTTGGCACGGGGCCTCAGCCCCGCACGTTGCCTGGCCCTGTTCCCCATAGCTGAAGCCCCTGGGTTAGAGAGGCTCTGGAGCAAAGCCCGTCACTACCTTCTCACCCACCTGCCTGCTGTGGCTTTGTGCCCCACTTTCCCTTCTTTACCGTCTGCCTGCCTGGCTGAGCTCCTGGAGAGCGATGAACTACACGTACAAGAGGAGTTCGAGGCCTTCATGGCTGCGTGGCGTTGGTTAGCCGCCAACCCCGAGACCCAGGAGTCAGAGGCCAAGGCCCTACTTCGATGTGTTCGCTTTGGCCGCATGTCCACCAGGGAGCTGCGGAGGGTACGGGCCGCTGGGCTGCCTCCACCCCTGCCCCCAGACTTGCTGCATCAGCTCCTGGTAGAAGCTGCTGTTCCGGGTCAAGAGAGGCGGAGGGAGCCTGACCAGGCACTGGTAGTGATTGGTGGGGATGGGCTCCGATCAGACATGGCCAGAAGACAGCCCTCCCGAGGAGTGTGGTGGGCCCGGGCCTTCTGCTGCGGCACGGGACTCGTTCGAACCGTGGAGTGGGGACGGCTCCCTGCCCTGCCTGCCCCAGGGCGCTTCCGGCATGGGGCTGCGAGCCCGGCGGGAGGCCAACTCTACGTGTGTGGGGGACAGGATTTCTACGGCCGCTCCAACACCCTGGCTTCGACTCTCAGGTATGGGCCCCACAGAAGAGCAGGCCCCAAGGTGGGCAGCTGAGGGAAACCATTGGCCCGGCCACCCACAGAGTCCCGGGGTCACTCTTCTCTTCTTTTGTTCTGCTGTGTCCAGGTGGGACCCCAGTCAAGAGGACTGGGAGGAGATGGCGCCTTTGTGCCAGGCTCGGAGCTTTTTTCCTCTGGTGGCCCTGGATGGACTACTTTATGCCCTGGGTGGCCGAAATGGTGATGTTGCTCTCAACTCTGTGGAGGCCTATAACCCCGAGCTCAACGTCTGGAGGTGAGCAAGGAAGGGGCTGTTTCTAGACATCGGGGAAGGACTAGAGGACTTGGAAGAGAAGTCGAAGAGGATTTTTGCCTGATCACGTGCCCTGTTCTCCCTTAGGCCCGCACCTGCCCTTCCGGCACCACGCTTTGCCCACGCAGCTGCTGTTTTGGAGGGCCGATTGTACGTGAGCGGAGGCTGCAGTGGCACTGGCCAATACCTGGCCTCACTGCTGCACTATGACCCCAAGCTTGAGAAGCCAGGGACACTTCTGAGCCCTATGGGGGTACCTCGGGCTGGCCACGTCATGGCTGCTCTGGGTGGCCGGTTGTATGTAGCAGGTGGGCTAGGCGAGACGGGGGACCTACTGAGCTTTGAGGCCTATGAACCGAGGACTGATAGCTGGACTCATCTGGCACCTTTGCCCTCCCCCCATGTGGGGGCTGCAGGTGCTGCGCTGCAGGGGGAGCTACTGGTGCTGGGGGGCTACAGCCACCGTACTTATGCCCTCTCCCACCTCATCCATGCTTACTGTCCTGGCCTGGGCCGATGGCTCTGCCTGGGAACTCTGCCCAGGCCTCGGGCTGAGATGCCTGCCTGCATCCTGACGCTGCCCACAGTGCAGCACATAGCTTTGGTTCCCACACGGCACCAAACCAAACCTGCTGGGTGAGTGGGGAGCAGCAGTGGATGGGGGCAGGGGGTGGAGGAAGGGATCAGAAACATCATGAGAGAAGGACGGAGATGATGGGGGGAGAAAGAGAAGGCTTTATTCACGATAGCATTTTATTCCAGCACAGTGTTTTATAACTCACAAACTGCTTTTGTATATATGATCTTCATTGAGCAAAAGGTAGCTCCAGAATTCCTGGAAAAGGCTGTTGGAGAGGCGGAAGCAGCTGAATGCCTGGATAAGGCGAGGAGGCCCAGGAGCCACTCTACAAGGTTTAGGGACCCTGACACGGTTGTTGGTGGGGCAGGCGCATCTGGCTGGGAAGATAGTTAAGAAGGTCCAGTAGTCAATGTGTAGGGGCCATGAGAGGACAGTCAGGAAAATGATGATTCTGACTCATGGATCAAGATGAAAAATGTAGAGAGGCCACCCCTCTCTGAAAGAGTTTGAGAAGTGTGGGGGAGAGGACTGTAATTGTCATGCTCTTCCCTTTTTCAGGACTTGCTCCTTTCTACTGTCCAGTCCCTGGGACACCTAAGCCCTCTTGGCAATATTCTTTCTCAGGTAACTTGCAGGCTCGGTCCGGCGTTTCCTCAGCCCGCACCCTGCAGGCTGCCCCTAAGAGCCTCTTGGCAGAAGTCCTTGTCCCCACCTGGCGCCGCACAGGGGCTCGAGTCGCCCCGGTGAAGAGGCGGGAGTGCTGCGCGTGGGGAAGGGGAGGAGGGCCGGGGGAAGGGGTGAGGCGTCTGTAGTGGGAAGGGGATGGGATGAGGTTCGAGGGCTGGGGTGGAAGAAGCCAGAAGCCTGACTGGCTTCTTTCCTTCCTTGGGGGTGGGTTCGGGGGTCAGGATTGACAACAGGACAGTTGCTGTGTGAGGTCCTACCTCAGTTGTGAGAGGAGTTGTCAGAGGAGGCGGCAGAGAGAAGTGAGAGGCAGGGAGGACCCAGAAAAGTGTTTTCCCCCTTTTCTTTCCCTTTCCTCTAGGGTTTTTAAGATCCATTTCCCTTTTTTTTGGCCAGGCAAGGTTAAATCAGATGCTTCCTTTCTCCTTTCCTCCACCCTGCTCCTCCTTCCTTTTTCCCCCTTTTTTCTTTTCACTTCTCCTTCTCCCACACAGTGATCTATCGCCTACTATGTTCCAGGCACTGAATGGGGCCCTGAGGACACAGAGATCAGAGAGCTCCTGACCAGCAGGTAGACTTGTCAGTGGACTTAGGAGTATGGCCACTTATCTCATCCTTCTTATGCCTCGCTCTTAGAGGTATGACAGCCCAGACAATGGAGGAGTGAACTCTGCCCAGGGAAGGCTTCTGCTAAGGAAGGCATCATCAAATGGGTGTAGTTTGAGTTGGATTTTGAAAACCCCTTGGAAACTCACCAGTCAGAGAAGGAGGAAGGCACTCCAGTCAGAGAAAAGAAGCAAGTGGGACACGTAGTGCCCCGTGTCTCTCTAGCAAAGGAGAAGTCAGTATTCCAGAGGGTTCTTCGGAGGCTTCTGCTGCTGTTGCCAGCCCACCCTCTTCTCTGGAGCTTTTCTGAAGACAGTAGCTTTCACTTAATTGTATATTCCCTCCATTCACAATTCCCCTAAGTCTTTCCTGTCTGGTATTTCCATCTCTGAGCAGCTCAGGGCAAAGAAGGGCCAGTTCTTTGTATAGGTCAGTTTTCTATTACCATTGTTTATTAAGATTCTCATGCTCCTAAGGGTGAGATAAAGGAGCCTCTCTTGTACCTTTCTTCATCCTGGCCAGGAGGCGCTTGACATACTTTTGTTTATATTTTTGAGATTTCATTATTAAGTTCTTTCCCCCCCCGTATATCTCTGTTTTGGAGTGTAGATGAACCCGAGGAGGGATAAGTAGGCTATATATGAGAAAAGGGAAGAAAGACTGAGGAAACCAGAGAAGAAGGAAATTGAAGGTCCTGAGGAACTATGAGGATTGAGTCTTTAGGATGAACTTCTGTGAACATGTTCTTTGCGATTTGTAGGCAAAGACAGGCTTAAATAAAGGCTTCATCATTATCGAATGATTCTTGTATGAGTTTCTTTATTATAAAAAGCATGTAAAAGTCTCCTGTAATTTGGCTCCTATCTCCACCACACTATTGAAACCCCCCTCCCTCATTGTCACCATGACCTGCTTCTCACCAAATAATCTAAGGCCATCCTCATTCTTCTTCATCTTTCTGCAGGATTGACTGGCTTAAAATTGGCTCTTACCCTAAATATTTCTCCTCCCCTGGCTCCAGAGAATGCCTTCTCCTGGGCCTTCTCTTATTTCTCCAATCCAAAGAGGTGGCGGAGGGGGTGCCTGGCTGGCTCAGTCAGAGGAACATGTGACTCTTGATCTCGGGGTTGTAAGTTCAAGCCCCATGTTGGGTGTAGAGACTACATAAATGAATAAATACATAAATAAACTTAATTTTTTTTTTTAAACCCAAAGAGGTGGCAGAAAGCTATATTGTCCAAAAGGGCATGGCTCCACCCCAGGTGGAGCTGACAGCCAAAGGTCCAAAAGTATGCAGATAAGAGTAGTTAGTTACAGAAGTCTCTAGCTTTCATTATTTAGGGTTTTTGTTTGTTTGTTTGTTTTTAAATGTAAGCGTCACACCCAGAGTAGAGCCCAATGCAGGGTTTGAACTCATGACCCTCAGATCAGGAGTATGTGGCACAGTCTGGATAATGAAGAGGAAAACTTTTTATGAAAGCAGTTTCCAGGTGACATATCTTTACATGAGGACCAAGAGGCTGGCTTGGACAAGCATCACAGTTTAGGCCTATAGGCAGGAAACTCTTAACTACTCTTTCAGGGCCATAGACTATATTCCAAATCCTGGCTAACCTCTGGGATCAAGGGGCTTTATGTGGAAGAGTATGAATTTATCACAGTTCATGGTAATACGGACAAAAAATACACACACACACACACACACATGCAGGGATATATGTGTATGTCACTAGCAGTGAGATTATAGTCTTTTTTTCTCTAAGAAATAGGATGTTCATGATGTTATTGTTATAGCTGATAATTTAAGATGTAATCATCTGTATTTCTGATTAGAATAATTAAAAAAAAAGTGCAGCTTGAAAGTGTACTGAATTAGAGTCAGTCACTTGGGTTCGAGCCCCAGATCAATTGCTCCTTTGGTAATTGTAAGTCCCTTAGTCACTTTGAATGGCAGTATCTTAGTCCATAAACTAGGGATCATACCTGTACCATAAACATCATAGTGCTAGTAGAGTCGTGAGCTCCAGAGCTTGAGATAGTCTTAAGGACCTCTAGGCAAATCTGGAACAGTATGCCCTGGTAGCCTGTAAACCAAGTTCCAAGGCCACATCCTTTTTGATCAGTGAACTAGATGATGTCAAACAAGATAGTGTGCTGTACAGTCCCCTGAGACCATGAGTGCCACATAGAGGGTTACGAGGTATATCCCCAGCTACTCTGGCCTAAAATTGCTCCTAAGATAGGGGTGTGGGTTCATCTGGACTCTAGCTAGGGCCAAGGCATTTAGAGGGTTAGGGTCTCCTAGCTATATACCAGCTTGAGTAATCATCGGATAAGAAATGTGAACCCCAATGCATACTTTTCAAGCAAACTGTCACTGATGAACGCCAACTCTCTCATAACAAAGTAAAAACTGCTTGTTTTATAGTGCTTGCTATGTACCAGGCAGTGTGTTAAATGCTTTACATACATTATCTCATTTAATTGTCAATACAACCCATAAAAAGTGGATGCTATTATTATCCCCTTTTTACAGATTAAAAAAACTGAAGCTTAGAGGAGTGAATTTATTTACCTAAGGTTACATAGTTTGTAAATGTTGAGTGTATATTCAAACTCAAGTAGAAGGATTTCAAGTCCACTGTCTTTCTTTCTTTTTTTTTTTTTTTTAAGATTTTATTTATTTATTTGAAAGAGAGAGAGAGAAAGAATGAGTGGGGTGGGGAGGGGCAGAGGCAGAAAGAGAAGCAGACTCTCTGATGACATGGGTCTCCATCCCAGGACCCCGGGATCATGACCTGAGCCCAAGGCAGATGCTTAACTGACTGAGCCCCTTAGGCGCCCCTGAGCCTGCTTTCTTTGTTATGCTACCTCTCCAGTGTAGATCCACCTCCACGGAGTGGTGCACTTTATTCATGAAACTCATCATTGGAATCTACAAATGGGAGCAATTAACAGAGAGGCTTAGAGACATAGTCCTGAGGAGTCTGATATACAACTGCTGTAACACTGCTGTAACACTGCTGTGAATTTCAAAGAAGCTCAGCCGGAGCAAGGGGCTCTTCCTCACAGTAGTTTGTTTAATTTGCTAGGATGTGTTGAGCCAGGGATTGTTATGAGTACAATATATCAGGTGAAACTTTTCAAAATAAAGGACCTTGACTGGCCCCTTTATCTTATCAGCATCATCTGGACTTACTGCAGACTCAGAGACCAGTCTCTTACTCAGTTCAGGGTTTATGAGATTATTTACCTTATTTTCTTCTGCAGCCTAGGTCACACAGCTCATCAACAGCAGAGCAGAATTTAGACACAGATCTGTTGGACTCCAGAGTGCACATTTAGTTACTATACTATACCATCTCCACCCCCATCTTATATTACTCTAACATAGTGGCCAAGTATTCCACTCTTCCTGGGACTATCCTAATTCCCATGTTTGATTTCATTATTCCTACAAGCCATTAAAAGATTCCCCTAAGTCCACTATTTTTACATCCAAAGTTTACTTTGAAATGCCCCATCCACCCAGAAGCAGCACTCAAGTCCTATGTGAGATCAGGTGTCCTGATCATGTTTTTAATATGATTACTTCTTTGACATGAGTCTGTACTCCTCAGGCAGGTCCCATCTTCCAAGACTTATGGACTACTGACATAATCTTTTAATGTGTTCATGAAAAGGGCCTCCAGGGGCACCTGGGTGGCTCAGTCAGTTAAGTGTCTGCCTTCGGCTCAGGTCATGATCTTAGGGGCATGGGATCGAGGCCCACATCAGGCTCTCTGCTCAGTGG